TAACCCCTCCCTCCAAGCTTCACCCCTCCCACACTCCCTCCAAGCTTCACCCCTCCACACTCCTCTCCTTCACCCCTCCACACTCCCTCCCAAGTTTCACCCCTCCACACTCCCTCCTTCCCTTCACCCTCCACACTCCCTCCCTTCACCCCTCCACACTCCCTCCCTTCACCCCTCCACACTCCCTCCTTCGCTTCACCCTCCACACTCCTCCCTCCACCCCTCCACAACTCCCTCCTTCGCTTCACCCCTCCACACTCCCTCCTTCCCTTCACCCCTCCACACTCCCTCCTTCCCTTCACCCTTCCACACTCCCTCCAAGCTTCACCCCTCCACACTCCCTCCCTTCACCCCTCCACACTCCCTCCAAGCTTCACCCCTCCACACTCCCTCCCTTCACCCCTCCACACTCCCTCCAAGTTTCACACCCCTCACACTCCCTCCACTTCACCCAATCCACACTCCTCCCTTCACACACCTCCACACTCCCTCCCTTACACCCCTCCACACTCCCTCCTAATCACCCCTCAACACTCCCTCCCTCCCTTCACCCTCCACACTCCCTCCCTCCCTTACACCCATCCACACTCCCACACTCCCTCCCTTCACCCCTCCACACTCCCTCCACCCTCACACACTCCCTCCCTTCACCCCTCCACACTCCCTCCCTTCACCCCTCCACACTCCCTCCACTTCACCCTCCACACTCCCTCCTCCCTTCACCCCTCCACACTCCCTCTTCCCTTCACCCCTCCACACTCCCTCCCTTCACCCCCCCTCCACACTCCCTCCTTCGCTTCACCCCTCCACACTCCCTCCAAGCTTCACCCCTCCACACTCCCTCCCTTCACCCCTCCACACTCCCTCCTTCACCCCTCCACACTCCCTCCAAGTTTCACCCTCCACACTCCCTCCCTTCACCCCTCCACACTCCCTCCCTTCACCCCTCCACACATCCATCCTTCCCTCACACCCTTCCACAACCCCTCCCTTCACCCTCCCAACCTCCCTCCCCCTCAACCCTCCCACCACACTCCCTCCTTGCTTCAACCACACACCACACTCAACCCTCACCTCCACCCCTCCACACTCCCTCCTTCCTTTCACCCCAATCCACACTCCCTCCTCCTTCACACCCTTCCAACACTCCCTCCTCCCTTCACCCTCCACACTCCCTCCAAGCTTCACCCCTCCACACTCCCACCCTTAACACCCCTCACACTCCCCAAGCTTCACCCCTCACAACCCTCCTTCCCCCTCCACACTCCACCCAGCCTTCACCCCTCCACACTCCCTCCCTTCACCCCTCCACACTCCCTCCCTTCACCCCTCCACACTCCCTCCCCCTTCACACCCGTCCACACTCCCTCCCCCCTTCACCCCTCCACATCCCAACTCCCACCTTCACCCCTCACACATCCCCCCACACCTCCACACTCCCTCCTCCCTCACCCCTCCACACTCCCTCCTTACTCCCTCACCCTCCTCCACTCCCCTCCTCCCCCACACTCGCCTCCCTCCACCCCTCCACACTCCCTCCTTCCCTTCACCCTCCACACTCCCTCCCGTTCACCCCTCCACACTCCCTCCTCCCCTCCACCCCTCCACACTCCCTCCCTTCACCCACCCCCACACATCCCTCCCTCACCACCTCCACACTCCCTCCAAAGCTTCATCACCCCTCCCAAGCACTCCCTCCCTCCGACCCCCCAAACTCCCTCAAGTTTCCCCTGACCCTCCACCTCACCCCTACACTCCCTCCTTACTTCAACCCTCCACACCCTACTTCCCTCATCACCCTCACACTCCCTCCTTCCTTCCCTCCACACTCCTCCTTCCCTCCACCCCTCACATCCTCCTCTCCCTTCACCCTCACACTCCCTCCTTACCCCCATCCCTCCACACCCCTCCACACCTCCCACTACTCAGCTTCACTACCAACTTCCTGTACTGTCACACACATCCTCATCATACTCCCTATGCCTTCCTCGTCTGAAGATGGTCATCCACTGTTACCCAGGGCCTGTCTATCTATACCAGAGTGGTGTAACTGGAAAATTAAACATGTTCCTCCTCTATTAGTACGGAAAGCCTCTCGTCATACATAAACTATATTCCTCAATCTCTTGATTTTCCTGTATAGGAAAGCTCTGCTTATACAAACCAATCATTATCTCCTTCATTGTCCTAGCTACATATTCTTAATAATGAGCTAAGTGTGTCAAAACTGCTAGATTATTTCACTGATACTGTTATGGGTTCACATGATGCTGATTCTGATACTGGGTTATGGTTGACACATGTTACTGCTAATCTGATACTGTTATGGTTTCACATATGCTATCTGATACTGTTATGGGTTCACATGATGCTGATACTGTTATGAACGCGTTCACATGATGCTAATCTGATACTGTTATGGTTTCACATGATGCTAATCTGATACTGTTATGGTTTCACATGATGCTAATCTGATACTGTTATGGTTTCACATGATGCTAATCTGATACTGTTATGGTTTCACATAATGCTAATCTGATACTGTTATGGGTTCACATAATGCTAATCTGATACTGTTATGGTTTCACATGATGCTAATCTGATACTGTTATGGTTTCACATGATGCTAATCTGATACTGTTATGGTTTCACATAATGCTAATCTGATACTGTTATGGGTTCACATAATGCTAATCTGATACTGTTATGGGTTCACATAATGCTAATCTGATACTGTTATGGGTTCACATGATGCTAATCTGATACTGTTATGGGTTCACATGATGCTGATACTGTTATGGGTTCACATGATGCTAATCTGATACTGTTATGGTTTCACATAATGCTAATCTGATACTGTTATGGTTTCACATAATGCTAATCTGATACTGTTATGGTTTCACATAATGCTAATCTGATACTGTTATGGGTTCACATGATGCTGATACTGTTATGGGTTCACATTATGCTAATCTGATACTGTTATGGGTTCACATGATGCTAATCTGATACTGTTATGGTTTCACATGATGCTAATCTGATACTGTTATGGTTTCACATGATGCTAATCTGATACTGTTAAGGGTTCACATGATGCTAATCTGATACTGTTATGGGTTCACATTATGCTAATCTGATACTGTTATGGGTTCACATTATGCTAATCTGATACTGTTATGGTTTCACAAAATGCTAATCTGGGTGCCAGTCTGTTTGAGCCAACAAGCAAAGCTGTGGCTTTGTTGAATACAGAAACTGGCTGAATTTGGGCTGTTATGACGGAAGGTCCAGGTAAAGGGTTACCCAGAGTCCATGCCATTGAACTGACCTGTTATTTTATTCCCTCTCCATCTCTCTCTCTCCCACTCTCCATCTCTCTCTCTCATCCCTTTCTCTCCCGCTCTCTCCATCCCTCCTCTCTCTCCATCCCTCTATCTCCCTCAATCTCCATCTCTCTCTCCATCCATCCCCCTCTCTCTATCCCTCAATCTCTCCCTCCATCCTTCTCCCTCCTTCTCCCTCTCCATCTCTCCCTCTATCACTCCATCAGTTGCAATTCTTGCACCAAATGCAGCAGCAGCAAATGGCTATGTGGGGGGCGGGGCCACAGCTACATACCGCCAGCCAACCAAGAAGTAAGAGGAAGAGGAGCACGCCGCAGCCCCTCCCCAAATCATGACGATGACGACCCCCTAACCACACACACAAACACACTCATAAAATGACCCCCAGCCAACCAAGAAGGTGAGCAACGCCACGGCACCGCCCCAAATCATGGAGAGAAAACCAATCCCCTCACACACCCCCCCCTTCATGAAGAGATGAATGATCCATACTGCACTCTATCCTCCCTCACTGTGGACTCTCTTGCCTCCCTCACTGTGGAGACTACAGGCAAAAATACTTGGTTTTTTGTTTGTCCTTTTGTAGCGGAGAGAAGAAGATGATGAAATGTATGCTGTAATAATGGGTAACACTTTGTTACCCAGCGTCATAACGCGTTACGTCACGGTCATAACCATGTCATAACCTGTCATAATATGCTCATAACACTGCCGTGACATATATTTAGACCTGTTGTGACATATTGCATTCTTATATGGCTGGTTGTGACACCCACATAAGAGTGTCAAAACCCACAAACCTTCCACACAAGGCAAAACATTCCATTATATATATATATATTTTTTTTATTGACCATATTAAATTAGCATTGTAATTGCGCACACATTGATGTCAGACATGCAACTACCCCAATGCTCTGTTGCTGATGACTGGGATGAATGCAGGAGCAGATTTCAGGAGCAGGACAAGACACCCTCTTATTGACTGATATAAGGGCCTGTACATGACAGGCCTATCTGGCATTATGATGGTCATAATGCTTCTTGAGTGTCGTGAAGTGACACAGGATGGTCATAATGCTTCATGACAGTGTCATAAAGTGTATTTTCTACAAGTTATTTAAAATATGATGAAAAACACGACTGAAGAATTCATTACAACAAAGGATTTAAGAAAGTAAACTTCTTGGCAGGGGAAAAAAAACTCATTTAAATAAATGTGGGTTTTGACACTTCTGGAGGTGTTTATAACCTGCCATAGAATAACGCAATATGTCACATGACAGTGTTATGACCGTATTACGAGAGGTTATGACACTGGGTGTTTGGTTGGTATGGCCGGGCTTGAGCCTGAACCATGTTGTCCCGATGACAATAGAACAGGTTTTTAGAAACAGAACCAACGTTTTAAAAGAACCTATTTTTTTTTTAAACGAGTTAGAAAAATGAAGATGGTTCTTTGTTAGTGGGAGGGGTTTCCTATCCGACTGCTGTCCTGTGTCATGCCACGGTGTCCTCTATGGTGGCCCTGTTGGCTCAAACAGAGCCTAACTCATGAACGGACGCTGACTCAGAAGACTCCTTGTGAACGACTGTGTCTGGCTCTGTGTGACATCTGAAATGGAACCCTGTTCCCCTACAAAGTGCTCTGGTCAAAAGTAGTGCACTGTGTAGGAAATAAGAATGGCATTTCCGGTCACAGAATAGCTCTCTCTGCAGGAAGATGATCATGACGCCGTCACAACAGAGGACTTGTTTTCCCAGCATGCAATGCTGAGTGCGTTTTCATACAGCATTTCCTTGTACTAGTGGGGGGCGGTTGGGGAGTCAACAACAAGTGTATATTGTTACGAGAAATCAGGTGTGTGAGAGACATTTCTGGGACACTGAGGCAGAATGTTTTAAATGGTCTTTATCAGCAGTTTATTGTGATAAAGAAGAAAATATATATTGACAGGAAAATACAACTTTTAGAGAAAAATAAACGTGTGTGTGTGTTTATTTCGGTGTCTTGGCGCTCTGTATGACTTTGTCGATGAGTTTGCGGACTTCCCTGTGTCTCATCGTGGCCCGGCTGATACAATCCTGAAGCTTCTCACCTGATAATGATGTGCCACCTGGAGAGAAGAGCGGGAGAGAAGAGTGTTTAGACAACAGCTATGAACTTGTTCTTTTAAGAGATCATAAAATAAGTGTCTTTAGAAAGTCATTACAGCCTGAATTCAAAATGGATTAAAGTTATTTTTTCCCCTCACCCAGCTACACACAATACCCCATAATGACGAAGTGAAAATGTTTAGACATTTTTGCAAATTTATTGAAACTGAAATACAGAAATATTTGTATTTACATAGGTATTAATAATAAATAACACCCCTGAGTCAATACATCTTTAAAATCAAATGGCAGTGATTACAGCTGTCAGTCTTTCTGGGTAAGTCTAAGAGCTTTGCAGACCTGGATTGTGCAACATTTGCCCTGTCAAATTGGTTGTTGATCATTGCTAGACAACCATTTTCAGGTCTTGCCATAGATTTTCAAGCCGATTTAAGTCAAAACTGTAACTACAGTGGGGGGAAAAAACTATTTAGTCAGCCACCAATTGTGCAAGTTCTCCCACTTAAAAAGATGAGAGAGGCCTGTAATTTTCATCATAGGTACACGTCAACTATGACAGACAAAATGAGAAAAAGAAATCCAGAAAATCACATTGTAGGATTTTTAATTTATTTATTTGCAAATTATGGTGGAAAATAAGTATTTGGTCAATAACAAAAGTTTCTCAATACTTTGTTATATACCCTTTGTTGGCAATGACACAGGTCAAACGTTTTCTGTAAGTCTTCACAAGGTTTTCACACACTGTTGCTGGTATTTTGGCCCATTCCTCCATGCAGATCTCATCTAGAGCAGTGATGTTTTGGGGCTGTCGCTGGGCAACACGGACTTTCAACTCCCTCCAAAGATTTTCTATGGGGTTGAGATGTGGAGACTGGCTAGGCCACTCCAGGACCTTGAAATGCTTCTTACGAAGCCACTCCTTCGTTGCCCGGGCGGTGTGTTTGGGATCATTGTCATGCTGAAAGACCCAGCCACGTTTCATCTTCAATGCCCTTTCTGATGGAAGGAGGTTTTCACTCAAAATCTCACGATACATGGCCCCATTCATTCTTTCCTTTACACGGATCAGTCGTCCTGGTCCCTTTGCAGAAAAACAGCCCCAAAGCATGATGTTTCCACCCCAGGTATGGTGTTCTTTGGATGCAACTCAGCATTCTTTGTCCTCCAAACACGACGAGTTGAGTTTTTACCAAAAAGTTCTATTTTGGTTTCATCTGACCATATGACATTCTCCCAATCCTCTTCTGGATCATCCAAATGCACTCTAGCAAACTTCAGACGGGCCTGGACATGTACTGGCTTAAGCAGGGGGACACGTCTGGCACTGCAGGATTTGAGTCCCTGGCGGCGTAGTGTGTTACTGATGGTAGGCTTTGTTACTTTGGTCCCAGCTCTCTGCAGGTCATTCACTAGGTCCCCCCCGTGTGGTTCTGGGATTTTTGCTCACCGTTCTTGTGATCATTTTGACCCCACGGGGTGAGATCTTGCGTGGAGCCCCAGATCGAGGGAGATTATCAGTGGTCTTGTATGTCTTCCATTTCCTAATAATTGCTCCCACAGTTGATTTCTTCAAACCAAGCTGCTTACCTATTGCAGATTCAGTCTTCCCAGCCTGGTGCAGGTCTACAATTTTGTTTCTGGTGTCCTTTGACAGCTCTTTGGTCTTGGCCATAGTGGAGTTTGGAGTGTGACTGTTTGAGGTTGTGGACAGGTGTCTTTTATACTGATAACAAGTTCAAACAGGTGCCATTACTACGGGTAACGAGTGGAGGACAGAGGAGCCTCTTAAAGAAGAAGTTACAGGTCTGTGAGAGCCAGAAATCTTGCTTGTTTGTAGGTGACCAAATACTTATTTTCCACCATAATTTGCAAATAAATTCATTAAAAATCCTACAATGTGATTTTCTGGATTATTTTTTCTCAATTTGTCTGTCATAGTTGACGTGTACCTATGATGAAAATTACGAGCCCCTCATCTTTTTAAGTGGGAGAACTTGCACAATTGGTGGCTGACTAAATACTTTTTTTTCCCCACTGTACGTGCGGTCACTGTGAGGACTACGTCATCGATGATTTGGGGCTGGGTAAGTGGCAAGAGGACTGGGGAAAGAGGCTAGGTAGTGGTGGATTTAGTACTGAGCAGTGAGGACTAAGGAAGGGGTTAGAGATTGACAGGCGGGTTAGTTTGGGCAGTGTCTATAGGAGTGGGTTATGGTAATGTTAGGGGACCAGACAGTGTGTAGTGTGGTAATGTTAGGGGACTAGACAGTGTGTAGTGTGGTAATGTTAGGGGACCAGACAGTGTGTAGTGTGGTAATGTTAGGGGACCAGACAGTGTGTAGTGTGGTAATGTTAGGGGACCAGACAGTGTGTAGTGTGGTAATGTTAGGGGACCAGACAGTGTGTAGTGTGGTAATGTTAGGGGACCAGACAGTGCGTTTCTCTGACCTGGCTTGTGGAGGGCACAGAGTCGCTCTTCCTCGTCTGTTACCACTGTGATTGTGGCTGTAGACAGGCTCTCTTCCTCAGCGGTGGGGTCGACGATCATTATGGAGCTACACAGGACAGACGACTGTTACAACCATCATTATGGAGCTACACAGGACAGACGACTGTTACAACCATCATTATGGAGCTACACAGGACAGACGACTGTTACAACCATCATTATGGAGCTACACAGGACAGACGACTGTTACAACCATCATTATGGAGCTACACAGGACAGACTGTTACAACCATCATTATGGAGCTACACAGGACAGACTGTTACAACCATCATTATGGAGCTACACAGGACAGACGACTGTTACAACCATCATTATGGAGCTACACAGGACAGACGACTGTTACAACCATCATTATGGAGCTACACAGGACAGACGACTGTTACAACCATCATTATGGAGCTACACAGGACAGACGACTGTTACAACCATCATTATGGAGCTACACAGGACAGACGACTGTTACAACCATCATTATGGAGCTACACAGGACAGACGACTTACAACCATCATTATGGAGCTACACAGGACAGACGACTGGTACAACCATCATTATGGAGTACACAGGACAGAACGACTGTTACAACCATCATTATGGAGCTACACAGGCAGACGACTGTTACAAACCAATCATTATGGAGCTACACAGGACAGGACTGTTACAACCTATAGTTATGGAGCTACACAGGACAGACGGACTGTTTACAACCCGTTCACCTTATGGAGCTACAAAGGACAGGAACGACTGTTTTACAAACCATCATTATGGAGCTACACAGGACAAGTTGGCAGAGGTCGTTGATTCAGAAGAGCCCTGGGCGGTTAGGTACAGTGGATTCAGAAGCCCTGTTGGCGGTAGGTACAGTTGATTCAGAAGCCCTTGGGCGGTTAGGTACAGTTGTTCAGAAGCCCTGTTGTGGCGGTAGGTACAGTTGATTCAGAAGCCCTGTTGGCGGTAGGTACAGTTGATTCAGAAGCCCTGTTGGCGGTAGGTTACAGTTGATTCAGAAGCCCTGTTGGCGGTAGGTTACAGTTGATTCAGAAGCCCTGTTGGCAGTAGGTTACAGTTGATTCAGAAGCCCTGTTGGCAGTAGGTTACAGTTGATTCAGAAGCCCTGTTGGCGGTAGGTACAGTTGATTCAGAAGCCCTGCACACTGGGTAGGCAAAGTGTTCCCATTTTTAACCATTTAACTTGGCTGAAAAGACAAACTCTGTGGACCGGGAGATGTGGCTAAATCGAGTGTGCCTACTGCGCTGGCCAATCGGATAGCTCAAATCACCGTGCCTACTGCGCTGGCCAATCGGATAGCTCAAATCACCGTGCCTACTGCGCTGGCCAATCGGATAGCTCAAATCACCGTGCCTACCTACAACTTCCACAACCTCGGCCACAGCAAAGTTTGATACTAGACTACCTGAGATTTTCATAACTTTTATTCAACACCATTACGAAACATAAAACACGTTTCTCTCTACTTCCACTCGCGCTGCAATGAATAAGTAGCCAAGTGTATCGATAGCCCTGCGTTTTTATTATTTTAATATTGAGGAATATTTCACTTTCTCTGGTCATAGGAACAACATGAATTTGTGGCTGAGGCAGATGCGGTGTGACTAGAGTTTCACCATCAGGTGGAAGACGGTGTCCCCTCTCTCTGGTCAGTCTCACCGGAGGAAAGGAAGGAGAGAGCAGGGACCGTGAGAGGCGGACCCTCTGCTGCTCTCTCCCTCCCTCCGCTCAGACTAATGCTGTGTTCAAGACAACTGGGAACTAGGGAAAAAAACGTTTTGAACGGTCATCCAACTCGGAATTCCAAGTCAGAAACTGACATTTTTCTAGAGCTCCGACTTTCCGGCCTAAAGTTCACTGATGTCATGATTTCACCTCGTTTTTCCCCCCCCAAGTTCCCAGTTGTCTTGAAAGCACCATGATCATCAGATGCAGGTACCATCAGTCCAGTAAAATAAAAAAGCGAATTATTTGCAAATACTTCCATTTATGCTCAGATGTGCCTCGCAAGTGCTACACCAACTGATCTGTTTTGCTATCAAAGCTCGAGTTTTTAAATAAAATATGGTCTGAGAATAACAATAGAGAGTCCAGGCATATAGCCAATATGATGTGATAATGTATTAGGCCTAATGAACAAATCTCATTTTTATTAGGTTAATGTTACATTTTTTAAAGTAATGTTAAAAAAAATAAAAAAAATGAGCGGTAGATCTCTGCTTGCTTTTTGACGCCGAAAGTGATCTTGACTCAGAAAATGTTGGTGACCACTGATATAATACATCTCCATGGTAACAACTCACATCACAATAACTCCATAGTAAATCATTCAAATTCCATTTCAATTAGCTTAATCTCCTTTCTGGGTGTGAAATAAAACAGAAAATGGTCCCGAGTGATGAATGTGAATGAAAGACACTTACTCATCAAACACAGTGAAAGAGGCCCCAACAGGGTGTTTGTGGATCTTCAGACCTCTCCTGTTCTCCAGGTTTACCTCAGGAACCGCTGTCTCCTTGTTAACGGTCACCTCCGGGAGACGCGCTGTGTGAAACCAGGGAACAATAGCATAATATATTATACCAGAAGAAGATGTTTTTCCAAATCAAAAATCAGGAATTCCTCATTTTCCTAAGGTCATACTGAGAAAATGATGTACAGCTATGACATGAGGTCAAAGCTATCTTGATTACACCAGTAGCCGGTTACTGTTAAATGGACCCGTTACTGCTGAGCCAATCACATCCCTCACTAAAACTTTCTTAAAACAGGAAGTGACACAGTGTCACGGGCAGGATCTGAACTCGGGTCTCCCACGGGGGAGAAACCAACGTCTTGACCGCGAGACCAAGAGGAAATTCCTCCTCTGACACTGGTTTTGGGCTACCATCAGAAACCATGAGCCAGACTCATGTACACTACAACAGCAAGGTGAAAATGTCAGCAGGTGTGTATTCATTAGTCGGATTACGTTACAAAACGTTTTGTCTGTTGCAAACTCTAGGAAATGCTTGTTTTTCGTTGCAAAACGTTTTGTCTGTTGCAAACTCTAGGAAACGCTTGTTTTTCCATTGCAAAACGTTTTGTTTGTAGTAAACGTTTTCAGTTGTAAAATTGTTTTGCAGACAGACAAAATGTTTTGCAATGCAATCTGACTAACGAATAGACCCCAAGTCTCACCGTTCTTAAGAGCAGCCAGCAGGGCGATGAGACAGGCGTCCAACAAGTTGCCATCGTAGTCCAGACACATGATGTCACAGTACAGGACCCAACACAGCTAGCGAGCACAGACACACAGAACACAATGTCACAGTCCAGGACTTAGCACAGCTAGCGAGCAGTAGAGCCAAGTATCAGAATCACAGCTGAGAACTAGAATCAGTAACAGGCAAATCTGAGGTGGTGCATGGTTGAGGTCAAGTCAAATCAAATCTCAGTGCAATGAAATTCCAATTCTCTAACAATGCTGTTCAATGAGGAACATTTTGGGATTGGAATGTGGTTTACGTTCTGAATTGACTGACGTTGCGATGGAATTGACCCCAACCCTGGTAGCCTACGTGCACTAAGCTGTGAAAGTACAACAGTGTGAAAACAGTCCTCTCAGGTTGTCACATGATGAAGTTAACACGACTTTACCTTTCCTTTCACTATGCATAACTCCTCTTTCTGTATCACGGCAGAGCTGCAAGGCAAAAGAACGTTAAACTCCTAGTAACACTGACTGTTGGGATAAGACCATCTCCTTCATGAGTAAGTATATACGAAATCTCAAATACCACTAACCATTTCAGGTGGTCTTTTCAAACAGCTCTTAAACTAAAAAAGGCATTATCATCACTTTCACAGTGTTATTCCCACCTCAGTGTGGAGCTATACACTGAGTGTACAAAACATTAGGAACACCGGCTCTTTCCATGACAGACTGACCAGGTGAATCCAGGTGAAAGCTATGATCCCTTATTGATGTCACTTGTTAAATCCACTTCAAATCAGTGTAAATGAAGGGGAGGAGACAGGTTAAAGAAGGATTTTTAAGCCTTGAGACAATTGAGACATAGATTGTGTATGTGTACCATTCAGAGGGTGAATGGGCAAGACAAAAGATTTAAGTGCCTTTGAACAGGGTATGGTAGTAGGTGTCAGGCGCACCGGTTTGTGTCAAGAACTGCAACGCTGCTGGGTTTTTCACGCTCAACAGTTTCCCGTCTGTATCAAGAATGGTCCACCACCCAAAGGACATCCAGCCAACTTGACAACTGTGGGAAGCATTGGAGTCAACATGGGCCAGCATCCCTGTGGAACGCTTTCGACACCTTGTAGAGTCCATGCCCCGATGAATTGAGGCTCTTCTGAGGGCAAAAGGGGGTGCAACTAAATATTAGGAAGGTGTCCCTAATTTAAAAAAAAGTTACACTCAGTGTATATAAAAACAGGAAAAGCACGTTTTTTTTTGACTGCACTGGGCCTTTAAATATACACTGACTTACCTCTCGATGACATCAGAGATGAACTGGCTGGCAGCCTGGGCCTGTTCCCCAGGTGGTCCAGGACGGAACCGTGACGAGCACAGAGGAGGCAGGTCTACATTGGGTACTGAGAGAGACAAACATACACAGAGACATATATACACATACAGTATATACACACACACACACACAGGTCAATGGTTACAGCTGGTTTATACACTTCCTACTCAGCAAGGCAATGTAAAGTTGTTGAAACATTAACAAATCATGTTTTTGCTCTATATCTTGGTAGAAATTGTATAAGAAATTCCAATGGTAACTCTTCCACTTACCAATGTAACCTTTATTGGGTGCATCCACTGGTGGGTTTGCCAGTTCCTGTGGATAAAAATACAATGGGGAATGAGTTAGGTTGTTAGGCGAGGTGTTACCAAGGTGCTGCTTTAGTTGTTTAATTGAGGAGAGAGTAAAGAAGAGCGGTTACTATTCACCCCTTTAATGCCGCACATGACTGTGGTGTTTCCAATCTTCACCAGGGCTGAGCCGTCTGCTGTGGATATAGAACCTGGAGAGAGGGAGGGAGAAGGATGAGGAGGGGGGAAGGATGATGAGGGGGGGGGGGGGGGGGGGGGAGAAGGATGGAGGGGGGGGGGGGGGGGGGGGGGGGGGGGGGGGGGATGAGGGAGAAGGATGGGGGGGGGGGGGAGAAGGATGGGGGAGAAGGATGGGGGGGGGGAGAAGGATGGGGGGGGGGAGAAGGATGGGGGGGGGAAGGATTGGGGGGGGGGGGGGGGAGAAGGATGAGGGAGAAGGATGGGGGGGGGGGGGGGTTGTCAGTTGCTCCATGACACAAGAGTACACTCTACTGCAGGGTTCTTCAATTCCGGTCCTGGAGGGCCGAAACACCTCTGTTTTTCATCCTCTCCTTCTAATCAGGGGCTAATTCAGACCTGGGACACCAGGTGAGTGCAATTAACTACCAGGTAGAAATAAAAAACAGAAGTGTTTCGGCCCTCCAGGACCAGAATTTAAGAACCCTGCTCTACTGGGACAAAATGCTTACAGCACCTGGTGTTCCCAGGCGGTCTCCCATCCACGGACTAACTCACAGTTCAGTTGTACTCACCTATATTCAATGTAGTGGTTCTGAATTCACCCAGCTCCCTTCCATCAGGACGGCAGTTCTCTTTCTGCAGAGAACAACTCACCATTACTATCATGGTTTGTTCAGGGATCATATCCTGACAGTCAGTGTCAAGTCAACATAACCACTCTTACATTTACCAAGTGTAAAAGTAATGAGCGTAAGACAGTGGAGGCTGCTGAGGGGAGGACGGCTCATAATAATGGCTGGAATGGAGCAAATGGAATGGCATCAAACACCTGGAAACCATGGAAACCATGTGTTTGATACAATTCCACTCCGGCCATTACCACGAGCCCGTCCTCCCCAATTAAGGCGCCACCAACCTCCTGTGCTGTAAGACAGTACTACTAACCAGAAAACTCCGGTGGTATTCCAAGGGCTCAGCAGTTCTGGGGACAGAGATTAAATTAGTTGGTTAACTAGATAACTGACTTCTAAGTGACTAGCTAGTTAACGTTAGATGGCAAACTACTTTGCTAGCTAGCTAACGTTCGTTGTGCCAGTAGCCTATATGGTCGGTGGAGCCAGAGAGAGCATCTGATCCTGGATAGCCTACATAACTATTAGCCTGCGTGTCGAACAAGCCACTCTTCCTTGGGCTGTTTGGGTAGTCTATCATTTCGGAGGCATGTAAGAACCTCAGACAGTTCATGTAGATTATTTGATGAGTGTAAAATGCACACTTACTTGAATCCAGCCGCCATGGTGTTTTGGTTAGCCACGTGGGTTCGACTAATGTTCTGACGTCAGAACGGAAGCCCACACATTCGTTTCGGTTTCCTTGGAACCCAATTTAAGAAGCGTTTCATTGTATCGCAAAGTTCTCGTGATACCAGATCAATGCACATTTAAGCCTTGAATTCATCTTGTAAAATAAAAGGTTAGAAGGCAAAGAATAAGCGTCACACACTTCACACTCCAAGCCAGCAGGGGTCATAGTTTCATTCGATGTAAATCGCTTAGGTCCCTCTAGCATCTATTTGATGATGTGGTTTTCTGCGTGGAGTAACTTCCGCGTAGGTGTTTCGCTGTGACTGGAAGTAAAGTTCAAACCGATCCGCCCCATACAATAATGGAAATATTACGGCTATGATATTCTACCACTTCAAAACACCGTTTTTGTCTCTCCTCCGAAGAGTGTTGTCTGAGAGATATTCACCACGGAACAGTACAGTTAGTTAAGTTATTTAGCAGGCTAGCTAGCCACCGTAGCTAGCCACTCACTCCTTACTGCAGGTGTTTGTCTGTGCTACAGGGAATGGGAGAATGGATTGTCTATGTGAAATAATTCACTGTCTGGTTGCATTGGCAGTGGCTGCTTTGATCGTGGTAAGTGTTACACTTGCTACAGTATTTGTCTAGCAGGTAATGGTGTATGTCAAAGTCTTGTCGTTTATTCAGACAGGTTGCTGAACTATCAGAATGAGGGAGAGGGCCCTTCTGTGCGCATCCAATCAATCAATCAATTAATCAATCAATCATAGCTTTGAATACTATCTAATATGCCTAAATGTCTTTGTTTACATATTGACCAGGAGATAGACCTCAATGGAACCAAAACAGACCGACATAACAATCTAGAACCTGATTCTTAACTCTGTTGTGATTCTATTTTACAGGTCCTGCTGATAGCCCATCTGACTGCCGGGATGGTGGACCTGAAGCGCCATGAGAAGGAGAAGTTCTTCCTGACCGCGACTGGAGAGAAGGAGCCCTTCCCCAGCCTTCATGACCCCAGCTCCCTGGAGCTGTCTGTCATAGTGCCTGCCTACAATGAGGAGCTAAGAAGTGAGTGACGGAAGTACGGATAGATAGACAGACAGATGGATAGACAGACAGATGGATAGATAGACAGACGGATAGACGGACAGACAGATAGACGGACAGACAGATAGACAGACGGACGGACGGACGGACAGACGGATAGATAGATAGATGGACAGATAGATAGACGGACAGATAGATAGATAGATAGACGGACAGATAGATAGATAGATAGACGGACAGATAGATAGATAGATAGATAGATAGATAGATAGATAGACGGACAGATAGATAGATAGATAGACGGACAGATAGATAGATAGATAGACGGACAGATAGATAGATAGATAGATGGACGGACAGACAGATAGATAGATAGATGGACGGACAGATAGATAGATAGACGGACAGATAGATAGATAGACGGACAGATAGATAGATAGATAGATGGACAGATAGATAGACAGATAGATAGACAGACGGGCTGATAGACAGATAGATAGGTAGGTAGATAGATAGATAGATAGATAGATAGATAGATAGATAGATAGATAGATAGATAGATAGATAGACAGACAGATGGGCTGATAGACAGATAGATAGACAGATGGACAGATGGATAGATAGACAGATGGGCTGATAGACAGACAGATGGATGGATAGACGGATAGATGGATGGATAGACGGATAGATAGATGGATGGACAGATAGATAGATGGTAGTGCCTGCTCAAAATGAAGAGCTAGAAATGGGTGGGCAGAGAGAGAGAGAGAGGGGGGGCAGACAGACAGAGAGAGAGGCACACAGACAGAGAGAGAGAGGGGCACACACACATTTCCCCCGAACATGTTTCCTCTTAGGAGTTAAAGGTGGATGAGACAGTAGTATCGTATTCAGCGCTAGCCTTGCAACAACAGCTTGCATTGTCTTGCAGCTAGTGACTAGCGTCAATCTTGGCTTCAAAGGCATTTTTTCCCTATTTATACCTGATATAGGCTGCGTGCACACAGGCAGCCCAATAAGATTGAATCGTACTTCACTGGCTCGTCAGATGTGGCAGGGCTTGCAAACTATTAGACTACAAAGGGAAGCACAGCTGGCAAGTGTCTCATCAACACCATTATCCCAGAAACCCTAGACCCACTCCAATTTGCATACCGCCCCAACAGATCCACAGATGATGCAATCTCTATTGCGCTCCACACTGCCCTTTCACACCTGGACAAAAGGAACACCTATGTGAGAATGCTATTCATTGACTACAGCTCAGCGTTCAACAACATAGTGCCCTCAAAGCTCATGACCAAGCTAAGGATCCTGGGACTAAACACCTCCCTCTGCAACTGGATCCTGGACTTCCTGACGGGCCGCCCCCAGGTGGTAAGGGTAGGTAACAACACATCCGCCACGCTGATCCTTAACACGGGGGCCCCTCAGGGGTGCGTGCTCAGTCCCCTCCTGTACTCCCTGTTCACTCATGACTGCATGGCCAGGCACGACTCCAACACCATCATTAAGTTTGCCGATGACACAACAGTGGTAGGCCTGATCACCGACAACGACGAGACAGCCTATAGGGAGGAGGTCAGAGACCTGGCCATGTGGTGCCAGGATAACAATCTCTCCCTCAACGTGATCAAGACAAAGGAGATGATTGTGGACTACAGGAAAAAGAAGAGGACCGAGCACACCCCCATTCTCATCGACGGGGCTGTGGTGGAGCAGGTTGAGAGTTTCAAGTTCCTTGGTGTCCACATCACCAACAAACTAACATGGTCCAAGCACACCAAGACAGTCGTGAAGAGGGCGTGAAAAAAAGATTTGGCATGGGTCCTCAGATCCTCAAAAGGTTCTACAACTGCACCTTTGAGACCATCCTGACTGGTTGCATCACTGCCTGGTATGGCAACTGCTCGGCCTCCGACGGCAAGGCACTACAGAGGGTAGTGCGTACGGCCCAGTACATCACTGGGGCCAAGCTTCCTGCCATCCAGCACCGCTATACCAGGCGGTGTCAGAGGAAGGCCCTAAAAATGGTCAAATACTCCAGCCACCCTAGTCATGGACTGTTCTCTCTGCTACCGCACGGCAAGCGGTACCGGAGCGCCAAGTCTAGGTCCAAGAGGCTTCTAAACAG